ATAATAATCCGGCCACTCAGTGTATATAATAATCCGGCCACTCAGTGTATATAATAATCCGGCCACTCAGTGTATATAATAATCCGGCCACTCAGTGAATATGAGACACAACAGAGACCAAATCGGGTCACAGACAGCGAGGCTGCTCAATACTTGTCGTATTTCCTCCACATAAAGCAACATGAAGCGTTGTGGTCAAGAGGATCAGAAGATTGTAATCGTTACACTGTCTTTTATCTGACCTCCGTCCTTCCCCTCAGTCTTCTATCTGACCTCCGTCCTTCCCTTCAGTCTTCTATCTGACCTCCGTCCTTCCCTCAGTCTTGCATAGTTGTACCGGCTCCTCTCCTCTTCCTCTGATTTCCCTGCACACTGGGAGCTTCTCACAATGTGCATTAGAAGCTGCAGCAAGTCAGAGCCCCGCCTCATTTCCTGGCTGGAGAACGTCCAGCATCATCTAGATATTTCTTTCCCAGCCTGACTGTCCCTGGCCCCGCCCCTTACAGTCATTTGATTTCAGTTTGTTTAATCATTGAGGCTCAGCATTACATGTGGGCGTTACCTAGGATGGTCTGTATGCAAATACAGCCTGCCTAGGAACACCCACTCCTCCAGACTGACACCCATCGAGGCATTTTGATATTTGCATAACTCCTCCCAAGAGCCGACCCACTGCTTACAATGGATTTGAGGACTCTTGAGAGGGGTAGTGAGGCAGGTTGCTGCGATGTTTTCAGGAAGCTATGTACAGCCCGCTGCCAGCATTGTATAGAGAAGCACAGAGACCCGGTGATGACATCACTGTATCTAAAATAAAGTATGTAATAAAAACTGATACATGGGCATATTGATTGGGGGGGGGGAGGTGCAGGGAAGGCAAAATAATTGTTCTCCTACCATGTCAGAGCCGCCCACCTCTCTAATCATGTACCGGAGCTCCATGGAAATCCTGTGCAGGAACTGACACCCTGGAAGCATGGATCTGCACCGGACTCGGCACAGTCCCTCCGGTGAGACATTCTCGGTGTATTCGCTGCAAATATAGTTTTTATTGAATGAGCATTGAAAAAAAGGAAAAAAAAATAATTTTCTAAATGTTAATTTCCATTATTTGTACAGCGCAGACACAATTCAGAGTCACCGACTGCACTGAACTAATGACCATTGTACTCTCGCCAGAAGAGCTTACACTCCAATGTCCCCTCCACAGTCATGCAGTCTCACACCACAGCCAACCTGGCAAGTGTCAGTTCCTCTTCCTGTATTGTGGGAGGAAAGGGAATCCCCGCCCCCCAGAGGAACCCTTCATGGGGGAGAATACAAAACCCTGGAGGGGGTCACCCCGCTGGACTGGGATTCATGCTCTGTGCCTGACTTTCACCTGCCGCTCTGATAATTGTTTATGGCCGGGAGCGTTCTTGCAATCTGGATGTTTGTTGCTCTCTGGATCGGCTCCCAGAGAGTCTCCAGATTACAGAACGGGCCTCCGGCAACAAACACCGGCTCCATTACTCAGGACACGGGCTGCGCCTCTGTTGTATAAGCTGAAGGGAGTATTCGCTGCTCAGAACATGAGATATTCCGAAACTATTTCCGAACGCACTGACACCGCTCATCACTGGGGCCGCTCTCCTGCCTCCTGGAATCAGCTCCAGCGAATTCTCCGGGTTGTTTTGGGCAGATCTGTTTATACATTCACTCAATGAGATCGTCATATTCACTGGCGGGAACATATGGTGTCATCTTCTGGTGGATGTCTGCACCTCGTGTGCTTTTATGAGGCAAATTACTCTCATCAGACTCTCATCTCTCAAAACACCCTCTAAATAATCTAATAAATGAGCGAAGGATCTCGGGGGAGGCGCAGATCATACACAGCCCAATATCACACAGCAGGGCTGTAGCTACCATGGGGCAAGTGAGGCACTCGCCTCAGGCGCAGCTGAGAGGGGGCGTAGCCAGGGCCAGCCTGGCTGCGCCCCCTCACCCCTGTTGCCATGGTGAGCACAGGGCGCCATTGGCAACAGGGGCGCCAGACGTCCAACACAGCTTCTCCTCGCATTCCCCGCTGCATATCACATGCATACTTCCGCTGCCTAGGTCACATGCATACTTCCGTTGATTGTCTAAAATAGATACTTTCGTATGGCCAACGAACGATATTTCATTTCTATCTGCAGATAATAATCAAGACAACTGGACTCGCTGTATTTTTCTTGGTCATCCGACCAGCTTTCTCAATTCGGAATGACTTGTACAAACGGATGACCAGCGAAACGCCTTCAAGAAAAATACAGCGAGTCCAGTTGTCTTGATTTACTTTTTACAGATACACCGTGACCTGGATGAATGAAAACCTTCGCAGACACAATTTATTTCAGTCGTTGATCGATGAGGCGTTTGGAACAACCAGCAACAATCTGATGATGATTATTTATGATTGGCCACAAACTATCAAATACTCCATCCAGCTAAAAGAAACGAGCACGCGGTTCACACTGATCGGAGTGGATGTACGGATTTACACTTTACTGCATTGCCGTGCCATTTATCTCGAACAGCAGCCTCACACACTGAGGCAATGTGTGTTATTACAACACATGTTAACACGCAAAAATAAATAAACGAGCCATTAAAGAGTAACTCCACTTTTGTTGAGAAAAAAACTCAACCTGCTCTTGGCAAACAACATATATTGCAGGATTCTTACAAACTTTGTTGCAGATTCCGACCTTTTTTTATTCTGAAGAAAAAGTTGTTTGTTGCAGCATGTTTTTTTCAGGACTGCTGAATGGGAGGGTCTGATCCCTGAATGGGAGGGTCTCATCCCTGAATGGGAGGGTCTGATCCCTGAATGGGAGGGTCTGATCCCTGAATGGGAGGGATGGGCACCATAACGGGCTGCAGAAACAGAGATTGAGGGCTCTGTGTTCTCTGTGTGTTCTCTGATGACTCTGCGTCCTCAATCTCTTTTTCTATTTTAAAAGGGAATTATCAGGGTTCTGTTTAGACCCATAGACCATAGGCAGTGATGTGGAACAACCTTCAATAAACTATTCCAGTGAAATCCAATGTGGGGTCAGCTTTTCTTTTGTTGTATGGGCTTATATTGAAGCGATGATGGGCTCCACAGGGGCAAGCACCCGGCCCGGTGCCTCTGTTGTGTGTTCTCCGTGATTTTATTGGAGTTATGACATCACAGTGTGACAGTTTGGGATTAAGGAACTGAATACCTCTGAAAGTGTTTTGTTATAGCTGTTCATTAAGGGCAAAACAATACCTATTGATCCTGCCAGAAATGCAGTAAATTGATAACTTCCTCTGCTCTTTGCTGTTGTCAGTTACTACTGTTCTCTGAGGACAACAGAAGCCAACCCCCATGGTTTGGAGATGAGAAGAGGTGTTCTTTCCTAGGGTGACAACGCTGCTCCTCCAGATACAGTACAGTGAGTAAGCGTTGTCACCCTAGGGCAGGCAGTGTGTTACTGGCAGGATGAATGGACGAAAAAGTAAAACGAATGCAGCCAGCAAGTCTGAGGACTGGTGATCTGCAACAAAGCCCTCAGGGGCAGGGCCCTCCTTACCAACTTGTCGTGAATTGTATTGTAATGTCTTCCTTATATTGTAAAGTGCTGCGCAAACTGTTGGCACTACATAAATCCTGTATAATAATAATAATATAATTTTTGTTCTCAGGTTTAGATACAAAATGATCGATTTCTATGGAGAGTTTGTCATTTTTTTGTACCTTTTCTCTTCTTTCAGGCAGTCGTCTGACGCTGTGAGATGTGGCGGACGAGGTTGCGGAGACATTAAATAACAGTGAGTACCTGCCATATACATACGATGTGCCGACGCTGAGCTCCACCTGTATAGACTGTCCAAGCAAAACCCGGAACATGGAAATTTGATAATTTGCAATAAATGAAAAAATTCTGGAAATATGAAAAAAAAAAATAGATCGTCACCTCAAATCGCCTTTTCCAGTTTGCCCCCCTTGTGAATAATGAGCTGTTCCGTGTTTAGGTTGCCATATGTAAGTGGAGAAATTGCCCAAAAATGTATAAATTGTCAAAACTCTGAAAATTGGCATTTCCTGAGAAAAACGATTTCTGCCCTTTGATCGGTTTCTGAGAGTTTTACCCCAATTTAGCCAAAGTGCCAGGCACCCTATTGCTTTATTACCACTCCACATGAAAGATACAATGTATACATGCAGGTCTGAGGAGAGACCGAGGCCGATCATTCACAGTACCGCGCAGCCCGCTTACGCGGAGGAGGATACTAGCGCCACTCAGCGTAGGCTTCTGGTCTATATGACCCGCTGAACAGAAGACCATATATAACAAGCAGGTCTATAAAGGTCCCCACACACCTTACGATAATCGTACGATAATGGCGGGAAATCCCGCGATCGTACGATTATTGTAAGGTGTGTGGAAGCCGTGCGACCTCTACTACTGTGCAAACCCGCCGAGCATCGTACGAGCATCGGACGGGCCGGTATGCGACCGTTCGGCATTGCGGTCATCGGAAGCCCGCCCCTCAGTGGGTGTGGCTTGCGATCATCGCAAGTACGATCTGCCTATGCAAGATGGGCAGATCGTACGTTTTTTTAAGTACCTTACAACCATCGCAAGACAAAAGTCCTGTGAGGGTTGTAAGGTGTGTGCCCAGCCTAAGACTTAATGATATTCAAAGCATTGTTATCTCTTAAATACGCCATTTTCATATATAATAAATATAATTTTAGGACTCCGTGTCAGATGATATCCCAGACAATCTGTCTTTAAAAAAAAAACACAAAACTATTTTTTTTATTTTGGATAAATAAATAATTCTGTAGCTGAAATGAACTGAATGATTCGTTATTGCCCCGGCGGGTGACTGCGCTCCCCTAACATAGACAGCGCCTGACATGTAGAGCAGTTTATTTCATGTTGTCTGCAGGCTCCGGCTTGTTAGTCCTCATCTGATGTCCAGGTGCACAATCAGCCGCCGGGGTATAAAGTAATGATTTAGAGGGCTCTGGCCACCGTCCATAGAGAAGGATTACACTCCCTCGGTTTATGATAGAAGTCATAGTAAATACCCTTCGCTATCATGGCTAAGCCTGTCATGGCTCAACACTGTCCATCTATTCAGGTGAGATGAGCTGCTCACTTCATTATTATGTATCTATTTGTTCATACATTTCTATGTATCCTCAACAGGTAAAACACCTGACTTCATTTGGTATTGTTGGTTTGGAGATTAGAATATGTATGATGGGATTGGTAGTTTTCTTTCTGCTCTACTGATCCATATACATCGGCCAGTTTAGAGTTAACCAATCAATCAGTGAGCATTGCTACCTCCATCTGTGTGGGGCGGAGTTTGTGAACACATATAAGTGAGATGCTGGTCTGTGTTTGTTACCTGTATGAATAAGCCTATGGGTGAAACATGTGAA